TAGGTCTCTATATAGTGTTTCGCTTCATGTCTGAGTCTCCGTTCCACCTGCTGTCGCAAAACCGTGCAAACTGCGGGCCTTCATTGTCTCATCTGGATCCGGTGAATCCTCCGCCCAGAAAGCTTGACTTCACGGTTGGGATTTTCCAGATGTCCGAGGAGTTCACAGTGTGTTGGGGTGAATGCCATGGTTTTCAGAGGTCCAAAAAAGGTTAATGTCTGTTTGTTGGCCAACATGTGATGGGTCAGCATCAATCACTAAAAACACCTAATCAAATGTTCTTGTTCCTGGAGCTTTCCAAGAGAAGCTGTGAAACGATGGCCATACAGAAAAGCGTCTTCGAATACGCCGATCCTCACAAGTTTGGGTGCTTATGTTCACTTACTGCGGATTGCTCACCCGGAAGGAACCACTTTCATCTGTGGAGCCAACACAGCCAAGATCAAGCTTTTCCTGCACAAAAACACAGCGCCCATCGATGGCATCTCAGCCATGCGGATGAGACCCAAAGCGAGACCCAAACGGATCACCGTCCACGCTCGCGACGAGTCGCGGCGGTCGCGGCGACCGTCAAACCGGCGCGTCCTGGGTCAAGCGCAACGGAGCTGCGACGCAAAGGCCCAGAAAGCGCCTCCAGGCCTTGCGATCAACGATTCGATGATCGCTTCACGGTTTCGGTTCCTTTCTACAGAAAAGGGGTCTTTTGGGGGTCGCAGAAGAAGAAGAAGGTCAGTTCCTTAGAAATGACATCAATGACATCCATTGAAATCCTCAAAATCGAGGGGGGTACGCCATGGCACGCCAATCCTTACGCCAAAGCTGCAAAAAAAGATGAACTCCTTGGAGAAACCCATGCTGTGTTCGGACAAACCCATGCGGCCGTGCGTTTGGCCCCCTTCTCGGGCGGCCAGAAGCAGGCGCGGGCCCTTCCAAGCCCGGCACAATGGTGTTCTGCGTACCCAACGCCGTCGCCGCGCAAGGCAGCATCTGCACCTTGTTCGCGCAGCGGGCGGAAGGGCATGGCGTTGGCGGACGCGGCGTCAACGCACACTTTCTCCCGCTGGGAATCGGACAAGAGCTTCGAGGTCGCCAGACTCCAGCCTGATGGACTGGTCAGTAAGCTCCACCAGACCCGACCCAGCTGACGTGAACCTCCATGGTCCACTCTCCGGCGGGAAGAGTGCCACCAAAGCAGCAAGGGCCTTTGGACAAGCGACGAGCGGCACGGAGTTGATGGAAAAGGTCTACAAGGCTGGCTCCCTATAATTATGCTCACAATATTATAATTGTAATATGCTAAAAATGTATGGTAGTGAAACCAAAATAGATATGTAGGCTCAGGCAAACTCCATCAACAAGTGTCCTGGAGCTTGTTGCTACCCATTTGAGGACCGGAACTATCATGGTCTGTTTCAGACTCCTGGACCGATGCTCAATCGAACACGGGACCTGCCTCTTCACTCCGAGCTGCAGGATCAAGGCTGACCTGCGACGGAGACAAAAAATCACTGAGTTCTGTTCTGGCTGAGTGATATCTTTCAACAGCAAGTGAACTTTGGTTCAAATGCTTCCAGCCCGTTGGTATGCAATTTGTACTTTAACGACGTCATCATCTCTCATCTCTCATCTTCAGGTGTTTCAGCACTGCTTAGCTTGGCTGTTGAAACACCTCAGCTCCAAGCCAGGGCATCTTGCAGGAGACTTTGGCAATGCTTGATGCAATCTCCCGGCTTATTGATATCAACACCTGCCAGATCCATGCGGGCTCTGGTCGCGACCGCTGCCGTGAGCCAACGATGAACTGACTCGTGTGGAAACAGACAGCACAGCGGACCGCCTTGGAAGCATGCTGCAGGATCGCCTGGCACTAGGAAGACACTATCAGGCTCCAATTCTCAGATGATCAAACTGATTGACAAGGAAAAAGAACATGCTAGTTGGCTTGAGAAGAAACACAAGCTGGCTGCACTCGAGCTGCCCAGTGCATCAACAGTAGCAAACCAACACCAAGACTTTAAAACAACAACTGCACTCTCAAACCCCGCCTGCGATGCTCTGCGGTTGCGCAGCGATGCTCTACCGCAAGACCCGGGAAATTGGACGTACATGGGTGTGTATTTTCATGGGTAGACTGGTCGATTTCCCGAACCTTCCAGTGGGTCGTTGTCTGGTCTCGGTCTCCCGAGACATTGGTGTGACGCGCTTGTTGCGCCCGCCAGTTTGACCCACCCAGCCCACCTGGGGCATCTCCTTCAGGAAGCTCCTGTGGCTCTTCAGCTACTTCTCCTGCCGATCCGATCCGGCACTGACTGTCGAGACGAGCAAAGCAACACCATCAATGATACTAAATCCTGACATACAGGATGATTGCAAACCCTACTCAAGAGATCCAGCTGGGGGGGTTGGATCGTAGCTCAGGCGTCACAGTCTAATAAAGCACGAGCTCACTTTCAGTCCATGGCATACATTTCCTCCACAAAAACGGCTCAACAAGCACGAGCTTCGCTCACATCAAGCACTAGTGCTGGTCCTCTCCTGGCTTGCTTTCTTCCACTTTGGATCGGACCAGCGATCGAAGTCGCCCAATCAGACGAGTCTCAGTCGCTGCGAATCGACGAGTCGACCGGTGGAACAGTGCGACACGGACGGTTCGGCCACTGAAGATGGTTTCAAAAACCTGGTCTACATTGTTGTACCACTGTCATATCATTACATAATATCTCGATGTACCCAACAAAGAGTGGCACCTCACGCGTCATTTAAAAAAGGGCGCAGAGGTTTCTTCATGACACCTTCCAATTTCCCGGTGACCGATGGTTGACATTTTTTTCCCAACCGGAACGCGGACGCGTCTAAGAGCCGAGACCGGTTCGCGGAATCGGGGCGGAATCGGGGCGTGGCCTGCTTCAAGAGCAGCTCATCTCGAATCTTCGACTGGCGGAGGTCAGGAACTCTCTGGATGGATGGAAGCAGCTCTCGTGGATGGAAGTAGGTCTCACTAAAATTCTCTAGTCAGTCTCTGGAAGTCATAGGTCTGGAATAGGTCTGGAAGAACCAACAACTCTCTGGTAGATGGCTGAATGTGACTGATCAATGATTTGGATCTCTGATCTGGATGGTGACCTATACATACTATAGTTCTAACCCGTTGAATCCATGAACAAGTCTGCTAAATCATGCTAAATCCAATAAATCACAGTGAACCGGTGGCTGTTTTCTCCCATCCTGTCCCATCTGCACGGTTCCCATCTGGCGCGCCTTGGGCAAGGCATCCACAGCAGAGCGAAAGGCCAACTGCAACAGTACATGACTCAGGCATGGATTGTGGGGCAAAACCGCTTTGGACCCCGAAAATGAACAGATTCCTATAAGGGATGTGACACCCACCATGGATTGGTGGGGGGAGGTGGAGTTCCTCACTTCCAGATTGACTCGTTGACCCGTTGGACTGGATGTCATGGCACCAGAACTGTGAACTCCCAAAGCCTCCACAGTGGAGCGTCCTGCATTTGCAGGAAGTTTCCTCAGGAAGCAGGTGAAAGTGCTCACCCAGCTTCAGAAGCAAGTGCTCACCAGCAACCCGAACGGCCCGAACGGCTCCTTTGGGGACTGTCGTTCTTTCCCTAAACCTATAGGAAAAGGGTGGAAGTTGCAAAAATGGATTCTTCCTCTAGATGTGAGTTTTGTAGAACAACTCTATGAGTTTTGGTAGATGCCAAGCAACTCCGCGAGAGCATGAAGCAGCTTCTCCATGTCAGTGATCCATTGCTATGCCAGAAACACGAAAAGCATGGAAAAGCACTATAACTATAACTGCTATTGCAATGGGTTGCTGTTTATGAGACTGGACACTCTTGTTTGCTACATGCCTGCACAATCGGACAGGTCACGAAAGAATGCATAGTTGGTGAGCTGGGAAGGACTTGCTGCACACCCGAACGCGGCAGCACACAGCACACAGGGCCAAAGCATGCTGCAGAGCATGCCAAAATGGTCCAACCGGTGTTCATGGACACTGAAACATCGTTGATATACACGATGCCAGAGCAATTGAGGACGCCCTTCCTGAGCATTTCTGTCAGCATTTCCTGCCAAAACCATCCAAAACCTGTCAAGAAGACCCGCCGAAACCTGAGGTCCTTGTCCTTTTCCCATCAATCTTCCGCGGTGTCCTCATTACGACCAAACACCAAACCACCAACGATGACAGAGTTTCTCCGCTCTCCAGTCTCTCCCCGCCTCTGTGGATACTCTCTCAGACGGACTGTTGCTAGAGATGCACCTGGTCTGGACCAAGCAGAATGCTCAAACAAGTCCCCAGGCTCCCTCTCCCTCGTCGTGCGTCTCAGGGAATCCGGGATGAAGAAGGTCGTCGAGACACGTCGGGGCCCCGTCCCGTTGACCATCGGGTCGGGATCGGAGTGACTGACGATGAATGACGACGGAGGAAGGACGGGATGCGCTGACTCTCGTTGGGAGCAGGAGTTTGCTAGAGTTTTACCCCAATCCATCCCAATCCACTGATAAAAGGTAAAATGGATGTGGCCTCAAGATGAAAAAAACGGGAACTGGGAAAAATTTGTCAGGTCAGGTTCTCTTGAGTAGTGGAATTCCACGTCGAGATGCTGCTTGAAGCCAGTGCGGCTAGCGGCTAGCGGCGGGGCTGCAAGCTAGAGCCAAAAGCTGCTGCAGCTTCTGATGGGACACTCATGCCTTTGCATCTGATCTTTCTTGTTCAGAAAAGTGTCGTAGGATCCAAAGTTAGCACACCACACTTAAGCGATTCGCGTGCTTTCTTGTTCAGAAGGTCCAAGAGAGGGTTTCTTGTATTCAGCCTTCAAAATCGGAGAGCAATGCCCACAATAAGGATGCCCAAATAGACTTAACGGCAAATCTACTCAGGAAATGCAACCCCAACGGACCATTTTTCTAGACTGGTCCATTCTGCTCGCGCAGGTCACACGCTACAGGCTTCCCGCCATGACGAATGCTTTGAACGTGTGGGCCCGTGCCCATGCAGCATGAATGGTCGGAAGATCTGGATTTAAAAGTGGAAGAAGCATGGAAGTAGTAGCCCGTGACCTAACAACTAGCAGGGCGCTGGGCACATGTGCTTCGCATATGGCCCGTCACGCTGGAGATTACTCCACCAACTAGCAATCCAAGCATGCTACAGATTTTCACTGAGAAAATGGAAGACTGTCGCACGCCTCAATTGTTGTGTTGTCCTTCGTCACATCCTTGCATGGGAGCTGTTGTCCCGGAATTGGCACGAAGAGGTCAAAAGGGATGAAAGAGGCAGCAAAGCTAGCTTTCACTTCTGAAATACTCAATGCTCTCCATTCCTTCATCTTCTTTCAGCTTTCACCATGAAGTTCCCATCTCCTGGTGCCCCATCTGGAAACCCATCGACTGGGATCTCCTTCCTGGCCACATCAGCGAACCCCCCGACCCCGGCACTCGACGACCATCTCCCCAAGTCATGTTGCCATGTTCCCTCTCCCCAAGTCATCCACCTCTCCCACCATCCACAACCCGCAGCATCCTCACCCTCTCCTCAGCGGCTCCGCACATCGGGCACGCCCGGCTGCGAGGTGCGCCGCTCGCTCCGGGGCGTCCCCGTGTTCGGCGGTGGCGTGGTCGAGCGGAAGCGCATGGCCGCCTGGCGGAGCGATCCGGAGCCTCGGAGATGGGATGGGGAATGGGGAGTGGCTCTGTGGTGGTTTTTGTTGATCGATGTTCTATGATTATCTCTGGTCTCCCTCTTAATTACTGCACACCTCATCCAATTTGCGATGGTCTCGCTTGGTCTCGCTGCGTGTCGTTGTGACCCAAGGTGAAACCCGCATGGCTTAAAGCGATGCCCAAGTGACACAGGTTCGCGAGTGACGCACGCGAGTGACGAAGTGACTAAGATTGTTTGGGGGTTCTACTCTCCTCCAAACCTTGGATTCTCAGACACTTTGTTAGGTAATCGGATTGATGAGGATGAATTCTGGGGTCCAGTGTTCAAGAAGTACATAGTGGTAGACTGGCAACAGGTGTCTTTGGTGTTTTTGCAATTTGTTCTGTTGCAATTTTAGACTGGTTTCGCTGAAAGACTATGAGATCTTCCTGGATTTGAGTGGAACTTCTAACCTCCCCATGTCAATCCCGCATATCCAGCGACCGTGTCTCCATGTGCGACCGACCGTGTGTCCCTCGGACGCCACTCCGAAATCGTTTTGCTCACACGGAGCAACGCACCAGTGCTGTCGCTTCGATGGCTATCGCATCTTTACTTATCTTTACTTTACTAAGAAAAAAAGAATAGTAATGATTCAAACAAAAAAATGATTATGTAATATCTAGTAATATACATATAATATCTTCGCTCGGGAGAAGCAAAACGAAGCCAGAAAGAGCACGGGGCTCCCTGCACGAGCGAGACCGTTGAGGGCACCCCGCACCTTGGTGATCCAGGTGCACTGTCTTCCATTGGAAGAACAAGGGAACCATAGCAAACCGGAACCCATTGCACCAGGGGGCGTTGAGTAAGCCATGGGTGATGATTGTGTGGAAGCCAGTTGTTTAACAATCTCTAGCTACTAGTCCACAAGGACTTTCAGGCCAAAAGCATATCGAAGGGCCAGCGTCAGTCGAATTAAACCCTCTGAAAACTACAAATTACGCATTGACAACTCCAGAGCCCCTCCAACTCCAAGTCCTTGACAGACGGGCTTTGGGTCCCAAGAAAGTAAAACTGGTTGTTTTGACATGTTTCTGGGTCAGCATGGCCTTGAAAGACACGAAACTGATCAAGGACCTTCATGCTCAGCTTTGAGACCCTGGCCGGTGTGATTGAGCGTTCAGATTTGCTCTTCGTCGGGGTCGCCTCGTTCCGGTCGACGTGACAGCGCTTGGGCGGTGCGCGTCGCGTCTGCGAAGCAAAAGCGCAATCTCGGGGAAAGGTCTGGGGAGAGGACGTCTCTCTGAGAATGCCTCGGCCAAAGGAAAGGGATGGACACATCTGCTTTCGAACTAATTCCATTGCAAACTCGAAGCAGCATGGCATGAAAATTCTCGAAGTCTCTCAAAACGAGGACCACCTCAATTACGATTTAGACTTGTACAACGACGGATTGGGGCCCATGACTCGGAGTGAGCTTGTCTGTCTTTCCGTTTGGTCCATCCGTTGCGTGACTGCATGCCACGCATGGTCACCGACCTGCCTGGGGGAACGATCTGGGCGAGCCTGGCGCTGTGCTCGGTGCAAACAAAACGGACCCGTTGGCCAGAACCGGTGGCAAAACCAGTGGGTTTCACCGGTTGAAGAACCACATGTCATCTCAAGAAGCCGACCAAATGCTCCAGTACAAGCCTGGAAGCTGCGATTGATCGGGAAGCACTTAAAAAATGAGGAAAAATCATCCCGGCCTTCCATGGTCACATGATCCCCTTGCTTCCCCCTCATCACTAACACGCTGCCCCCCAAAGCGGGGACCGGTGACTCTTTTTTGGCGCCTCGGATTTCATCGGATAGCCACCTGCCGAACACCCCCGACCGAGAGGGCCTTCTCGGTCGACGGCGGGAGTTCGCAAAAAGAGTCGGAAGAGTCAGTGAACAAAAGATTACTAGTAACAAGAAGCTTTTAGGAACAAAGCACATCGCTACTAGTATAGCAAGGACGCTACGAACGTAGCTCCTGGCCTTACTACTAGTAGCAAGAAGCTACTATAGTGAACAAAACATGAGTTGCCGGTGGAGACCCAACTTCGGAGGTTCTTCCATGAGAAGCATGTTGTTTTGCCTCTCTCTCTCTGTATAATCATATGTAGAATGTGCAGTATCTTAGAATGTGGAATCCCAAAACAACCCCCAAATCAAATCTTTAAAAAAATAAGGTGACCATAGAAATTCAGTAGAAGTCTGTGTTGGAAATTGTGCTTGAAGTCTCTCTATCACCCTCTGTGACAACTGGATCCTTGTGACCACCACTCACTCATTTCCATCGCCACTCCCGTACCCCTATTCCCAGAAGTCTGCACCCCCTATGGCACTTCCACCAGCTTCTACTAATCACGACCGATATCCAAACCCTCAGCGAAAGTGACCACCGCCTGCGGGGGCTCCGCTTGGAGAGAGGCCATCTCGTGCTCGGATTTCCGGGTGGTAGCGCGCGCACCTCGGACGGTCCGGAGCCTCCGTCGCTCAGACCCGTCTCCGGTCAGACTCGGTGAGACCGCGACCGGCTCGCGGCGTTTGACGCTTTGGTCAGAGTTCTTTGATGTGTCTCACTAGACCATTTCATGTCCGACAAAAGTCTCACAAAACGCATCACCAATCGTCACGAAACGTCTCTTTTGCGGCTGTGTCAAGGCAAGGTGCTCTTCATATAGCTTCGCCTGCGGCACTGACTCTTTATCACTTGCAGTCAAGCACTATAAAAAGAATAGTCCTTTAATGCATTTAAGGCAAGAATAGTCCCTTTACTTCAGGCAAGAGATGGTCTTTTGACTTCTAGGCTTTATAAATAACACTTGCACAGGTGGCTTTTCGTTCTCTCGCAACAACAGACTGCATGATTCCGGCCTGCACGGTCTTGGTCGTTGGTTTGAAGCCGTCGAAGGTCCTGAAGTTTTCGGTGCAGCAACGCTGCCAAGATCATTCAAGTCTCTTGTGTATCGTGGATTGCGAACCCAAATGGACCAATGGCACGAATGGAATCTTCACTTGAAATCATAATAGAAAAATGCAAGCCATATGTACTGCATCCATTATCCCACTCGGGGTGGTCAGTCCAGTCAAAAGGCTCAGGTGGAGGAGGTGGTTCACGAGGATAGTAGTGCTTCACGTACCTCACCGAGTTCGGCGCGGCTGAAGCCGTTTCCACTCAGCGGCCGACACCGGCACCGACTCGGCCGATGCCGGGGACCATGGGTATATGCGGACGCCAGGTATACCAGATAGGTCTGAACCGGAAGACACACTCCTCATCCAACCATCCAAGGTCTTCGTATACGGTCTGGATCGGTCTGGTATCCCATACAGAGTATGAGTGGTTCCTTATGAGTGGTTCTTGCTGTTGTTTGTTGATCATGAGGTCTGAAGGTTGTTCATTCCTTTTTCTTTGGGCCACGTAATGTTCTGACTCGGTGGACTGGCGCTATATGCACTAGGACCAGAAACAGAGCTCCATGTCAGGAAAAGAGATCTGTCAATGAGAAATCCTGCTGTGCCCAAGACGTAGCCTATCCAGGTCCTTTGACGATATACAGGAGTTGAAAACCTTGGACGAGGGTTAAAATTTCGGGCCATGTATATATAGTATAATATACCTGTACAAGTAGCTGCCAGCCAGATCCGAATGCAAAGGAAGTAGGGCAAAATCTATTTTCTGCAATGTAATGGCTCCACCGCGCCAGCCAGGCTTCAGAGTCACAGGGTTCAGCCGGGCTCTAGGTAGAAAGTTGCCTTCAAAGTATATATTATTTCAATGGACACTTAGAAATATAATATATATATATATATGGTATATGTTATATATGAATTTTTGATGAGATGAGAGATTATATTGTGCGTGTCATTCCAGAGTTCCAGGCTTCAGGGCTCCACTGTGCAGGCAACAACTTGCAATCCAACCCCAAGCCGTCAGCTCGAGGATTCCAGAGGATTCCAGACGACGATTCCAGAGGGTTCCAAGTTCCAAAAGGCTCCAGAGTTGCAAGCTTTGGCTTGAAGCAACGCGATCAAAGCGTCGTAAAGCTGCGAAGTGTTCCAGACCTTGCACGTTTGATGACCTGGTCTGGACTAAAAGAGGAGTCAGAACCGCAGTAGCTTGCAGCTATCTATCTCGAGAAGCAAAAACCTGGTGACTATTGACTACCCAGTTGCGAGGCAGGGAGGAGCCTGTGGGTGGGGAGATGAGAGGCTGACTGAAAATGTACGAATGGGGTCGTCAAGCTCGACACTAGTTTCCGATGTGCCGCCCCGATTCGCTCCTTTCACTTCCAGCGACAGGCCTTCGCTCGCCATGTGCACCAGGAACTCTTGTCCTGTGACATCGCCAGCGGCTCTGAGGTCTTTCCTCCACAGCCATTGATACACACGACGTTGCATGAAAGTCAAAGTAATCACATGTCTCTATACTTAATACCTCTCCGTGCAAGGCACAAGTCGATGAGAATCGGAGATGTATACAGCTCCTCCAAGTGGCTCCGCACAGCCAGCAGCGTGCATTGCTCCACCACAGCGGGGCTCTTTGTGGGGTTCTTGAAAGTGTTCGAGCCGCCATCGGCGGCGCAGACTGATGACCGTGACGAAGATTGCCCCCCCATTCACCGCGAACCCCCCACCAACCATGGTAACATCATTGGCATGAACGTCTTCTGGCGCCTAATGGCTCATATGTGAAAACACATTGAAGAATTCCACTATAGCAGGTTTTCACATATCAGCCACAGGCGCCAGGAGACATTATTGGCAACTAGGTCCATCAATTCGAGACTTCTTCCCCAATCTCAGGGACGACTTCTGAAAAACACACACACGCACACCCACACCCTGCTCCCCACATCGTCTCCGCACTGTCGCGTCTTGGGCTGATGAATTCCGGCGCACTCGTGTTTCTGCGCGTCAGACGCTGTGAGCCTTTCCTGGGGATCCCAGCCTCGCACGAGTTTCCACGGTTTCATGGGAAGGATGAGCGGGACAGCCCCTATGCCCCTGAACTTGCTCCAATCATTGTTTTCAAGGATTGGGGTCTTTTCAAGTTTGGCCCCCAACACGGTTTTCAAGGATTGGAGCGCATTTGGGGGTCTTTTGGGGTCTTTGGCGTATAGATACCACCATTTTGAGCATCGAGATGTCTTGACTCGAGATGTCTCGAGTCCCAAGGGGCTGGACACGTCCTAAAGCACCTAAGAAGTATCCTCAGATCGTCCAAATCCGACGTCATACCGTGTCAGACCATCACGGCCATCCAGTAGATGCTTTGCCGCGCACTTCCTTCGATCGCCCAACGGTCCAACCCTGTTTGGAGTCGGAACGCAACTTCCGACCGTCTGGCATTGAATTCGGGGAGCACAAATTCCACTCTCTTCCCAAATCAACAAGCGCTAGCTTGAAGCAAATCCTGCCGAATGTGTCGTAAGCTGCTGGCACAGCAAGGCTTTGAGGAGGTCCAAGCATGCTGACGATGCCCGGGGATAGGTGGAACCTATCAGACGATGCAACAAAAAGTGAAACAGATTGGTGGCATCTGGTATAGACCTTCCTGATTCCAACAGATGCGGAAGTCACACAACACAGTGTTAACAGACCTTAAAAGGGTTCTTTAAAGTCTCGTGCTAATTCATTAGACTTCCTGTACCTCTATGTGCTCTCTCTCTCTCTCTCTCTCTCTCAAAATACCTATTTGTTGATTGCTTCCAAGAACACCTTGACATGCTGCAAGCCGCACATCTTCTCGCTTGCAGGCTCTGCGACCGAACTTAAGGAGCGGACTTAAGTTCACGCCAGAACCTTGAGGACACACCTGGCAGGAAGGATCTCGCCAGCGGGTTTTGGTCCCAAACGCGCCCGAGCGGGTTGGCGCCAAGACCAGGCTGACCAGGCTGACCAGGCTGACCGCGGAGCCGGCCTTCCGGAGGAATTTGTAGGCATCGGTATCCTGACGAGGCCGGTGAACGAGAGGTCCAACACTTGAGTGTCTAGAGTCTAGAGGGACACCAAATGACCATTTGTTGAGGTCTCTTGCGACGATTGTGGATTCGACTCTTGCTCTGTGCCTCTCACGGATTGGAAGAGACCATGTCACCGGGGGGGGCATGAGTCCGTTTGGTCTTCGCCGGTCACTCACGGTCTCTCTTGCAGATCCTCGACCTCGCGGCCGTGGTCGATCTGCCAGGAGTTTGTGGTCAAACCATCGACTGGAGGAAGGGCACATGTCAACCCCCAAACTGAAGAGGAACCGATCATTTCGGAAAATCCCTGAAGTTGGGAGTCTGTCTGTTTTAGCCTTTCAGAACAATTCTGGCACTCTTTTCGTTCGCTTGGACCATCTTCATCCCCTTCCTTCGTCCGTTCCTTCACACTGCTGCGGACGCGCCTTGGGAAGCCAATTCAGTTCAGAGTCTGTGGGATTTCCAAGGACCTTGGCCACCATGCAAACCTTGGACAACGCGTCACCGGTGAAACTGGAAAAGGCCGCCGGATCCGGTGCTGGGACGACAGCGGGAGTTGCCATGTGAGCGGATGGACGAGATGTCAGCCAGTTCTTTGGAGTTGCTCCTGTTTTCAACGACCCTTTGACAAACCAACATGCGTGGTGAAAAGCTGCACATCCCTTCCCACGAATGGGCAAAATAAAGACAAGCAATGCATACTTCGACAGGCCCTTCACCGTGGGTCCCGTGCCGTCCGCCATCGGGAACTCTCAACCCCCAAGCGACGGCTTTGCTGCGTTTGGTCCCGTTCCGAAGAGACCCGTCCCCGGAGCGAACGGTCTGCGTCTCGGTCTGCGCTCAGTCTGCTGCGACGTTGGGTCCGTTGGGTTGATGAAACACACCGAATGATCCGTGGATGATGCTCAGGCTTTGCTTTGTCATGGGACACCTCCACCACCTCGTCACCTCGGCTGGCTGCGGCTCTCGTCACCGAGATGATGAGACGACGACTCTCGTCGTCTCCCGGCTGACGGGCACGCCACGACCGTCACGCGAGGCGGTCGCCGGGTGGGAATATTCTGAGCCTCCCAGACCATGTCGATGTGATTCTTGCCCGGAAACATCGCCTTCTTCCCGCGCGCCACAGTCGAAAGACCACGGTCGGAAAACCCCACGGAAAAGGCGGGCGTCGGGTCAAATTCAGAACGTGGTGACGGAGTGCCTCCCCAAAAACCACATCTGGAGGGAGATGTCTCCAAAAGAGACACTCAAAGACCGGGAGATGTCTCGAAAAAAAGGTCGGTGGCCCAGTTGCCCCTCACAAAATCTATTCGCAACTGCTTCCATCGGTGATCACATCGGATTCCGTTCGTCCAATGATCCAAGCAGGATCCGTTCGGTGTTCTTCGGCATCTTGCCTGGTTCCAGGACACTGCAGGGTATTTTTGGGTGCCGTCCGCCAGATGTACGTTCTGGAAGGTTGCAAAAACTGAGAGTAGACAGTTGCAATGACGCATCATGACCTGTTAAAAAAGGAACGACCGAATGAATTTAAGGAGCAAATAAATATGCAAATATGTTCCTGTGCTGTGATGTGCCTCATTGCAGCTATGTACTTCGCAGTGTGGTCACTAACAAACCTTTCGGACTCCAGCTTCACTGGACTTGAAAAGTTGGCATTAATCTGTTGCTGCTTGGCAGCATGAGTCAGCACGTTTCACGTGCTTCAAAACTTTGCGCCCTCTTCAGGCGAATTGGAAGCTCTCGGAAACAAGCCCAGCTATCCAGCTATTTCCGGCCCATTCTTAAAACGGCTAACATGTTGCGCTTACGGCGTCGTCCAGCTCCTGCGACAGCTCCTCTGCTGTAGGTCGAGCCATCGGATCCTCCGTCGAGCTCTTGCGAACGAGAGGAGTGTCCCACATCTTTAGCTCCCAACGAGTGTTCTTCTAATGAATTTGTGTATATTCTTCCATAGATGCAAGAAAGGCATACTCCGAAGCGAGCGGTTCAGAGTAGCCCCAGCCTTCTGAAGGCACCGATCCATTGCTGCCACCTGAAATCATCGAAGTGGAAAAAACATGAAAAACCACCATTTCAGTTGTAGAGGAACCAGGAAAATGGTCATCCAAAATTCAGACCATAGTCCACGTAACCATGATTTCTGACAAGGGAGTCAGTATATGTTGCGAAACGAAACTGCCAAGAAAAAAACATGTTTTTGGATCGTCTCTTTGTACTTGTGTTCCTTCACCCATGGCGTGGATGTCCCGATCAAACCTCGCGTATTTCGGCGTCCGATCCAGCTTGGGTCTGCGGACCACTCTTGGGCTGCGCTCCAAAGCTTCTTCACGCTGTGAGAGCTGGAGGGTGCCAGCCAGCAAGGCCTTGTCAGCTAAGCGATTCACATCTGGTCCTTGTCAAAGGCGTGGAATGGACGTTATTGACGAACAAACGAACAATTCCTGTATATGACTGAAAATGTTCTCACAAACTAACAAGCCATGATTGTATCTGCGTGACTTGTATGTGTTCACATCATAAGGATCCGATTTGCGCATCTGGCCAATGGATTTTGGGGGCAGCCATGATCCATTCTTACCCTGTCTCCTAGTTACCCTAGATATTCTATATTGATGGACCAATAATCATATTTTCGGACCCTGCATGGTCAACCCGAACCTGCTGGTCTTCCCTTCCGGTCTGCCTCTTCGAGCTGAGGCAACGTCAGGTCCTTCGAGTTGAGAGACACCGTGCTGAGCTGGGGTTGAAGCGAATGAGGTATTTACCATCAATATCCATCAATGCACAGGAAACAAAAGACTATCTAAGTATCAATAACTGGACAGCCGATGTAACAATAGCTTCAAACAATGGAACTTAGCCCATGGGCTAAAGAATCAATAGTATACGATTTCATTGGTAGAGAACTGTGTAACCAAGGTATATAAATAATCTGCTTTAGCACAAAAATGCACAATATTAAAAGGTGTGAAGGAATCCTGAATTGATTCCATTGTGTGCGTTAAAAGAATATACGCCTCCGAATTCAACATGTCATTTCGGAAAGGAAGCTGGATGTTTGCTGTTGACATCATCCTTTCCCGAAGTCCTCACCATGAGGTAGGCTGAGCTGCATCATTTGCAGCATCAAGCAACCAAAGGCCCAAATATCTGCAGCAGGACCATACTCGCCTTGGAAGCCGAAGCAAGCCGCAGCGAAGACCCGTGGTCCACGTCGAAGAGTCACACCGGTCGCACGTCTCCTCTACGTGCATGGTGTCCTTCACCCAGCGAAATAACAAAAAAAAACGGATGGATTCACCGGTGATTCATCACCCTCTGGTTTTTTTGAGGGGAAAAGACCACTCACCCAGGACCCATATAGAAAGAAAACACCAAGGTCTGCCGGGTCCCGCACTTTGCTTGGCCACTTCGGGCGCCATGAAGTGCGGCGTCTGAACCTGCCAATCCAAAAAAGAACAAACAGGGAAAGTTGCTTCACTGTCTTAAAACTTTGCCAAAGCACCTTTCAAATCCTTTCATCCTTTAAGATCGGATCATGAACTCTTGACGTTTTCAACTTGTTGACTCGATTCGAACTCGTTCATTTCACTCTGGGTCAGCAGCTGGAGTCTGCGCTCGGCTGCACACCTGAAAGACCGCACGTCTCGGTGTGGAGCATCGACCGTGGAGCATCAACGTTTGGTCGGTCCGAAGACCGCGAAAAAGGGGCAAAACGATCACAGATCCAGTTCCGGTCGTAGCTTCTTGTTATGGTCCTAGCGATCGGCGATGGCCTCCAACCTCTTTGCGATGGCCTCCACCGAGCATAGCGTCCGTGCTACTAAAAATCAAGCAGCCGGAAGTCTCCGAAGCTTTCGGAGATTTTCGGAGGCTTTCGCCACTTCGCCTTGGCCACACCGAAGTCTCCCAACTTGGCGATGGCACGTGGCAAATCGAGCTCCTGGTGACCAGGGACGTCGATTCAGCACCCAAGCAAGCAATATGGGTTGTTTGGGGTCGATTCCCTCTATTCAACCATATATAGACTATCCAGACCAGTCCAAAAGGACATCCATAGACGATGAGTCTACATCCGTGGCATCTGGGCTGCCCAATTGCGGCGATCCACCGTCCTCGCCTCGCCAGAGCTACACCTGCAACTCGATCAAATGCGTGGCAAAGTGTAGCTTCTCAAAAGCAAAATGAATCCAAGCGCATTCCAGAACTTGAAAAGAAAGAAAGCAACGCTACAAGAAAAAGAACCCTATAACAACAACGATACCAAAGGAAAACATGTTTAAAACAAATATATACATATATAACCTTGGTGGATGTGTTTGTTTTTTCCGTGTGTTCTTTTCCGCCGAGGCACAAGAACACATTCCCCGCTTTGAGGTCTCGATGCATGACACGGTGTCGATGGAGATGCACCAAAGCCTTGGAGACCTGCGCGGCTCAAGGACAGAGAAGATCTTTAAAAAATAAGAATATATAAATATGTATATATACAGTATATATATTAATAAATACTTAGTGCATAGCTGCCGGCTCACGTTTTGCCGCATCGCACTGAAGTTGGTGGCATGTCATGCCCAGCGATCCTTCGTCGCCTATGGCAACCAGCCACCACCCCACTTCACTGCATCCGGCAGTGTGCCAGCTTCGTTCATCTACGTGTAGTGCACGTGCTGGTCCACATTGGCCATCTTTCGTGCCAAACCCGACAGGACATCGCCTGAGTCATGGAGGTAGCGCTGCACTGCCGAGGACGTCCATCTTCCGGTCCTCTTGACCACTTCTATCTCCCCAGTCGCCTGGTAGAGCGCCGAGGCCCCTCCAATCCTCAAAGAATGGGATTGGAACCGCTCTGCCGGCAAGCCCAGCGCCCTCGCAGCCCTCTGCAGCAAATTCTGCACCTCCAGCCGCTTGATGACAGGGCCTGATGCCCATCGGAACAAAGGCATATGGCTTTCGGGTCCTCGTCCAAATCCTCTTGGTGCCACCTCTCGAAGCCGGTGAAGGGCGGTGACCACGCAAACAAACTCGACCTCCGTCTTCAGCATGGTCTTGCACGTCCCAAAGGCTTCTTGGTCTGCCTTCGTCTTTCGAAACTGCAAGGTCGCCTCCTGGGGGTCGTTCTCGTCCGGGCGACCACGGGTCGTGAGCGAAATGTCCTGGCCCCTCGCGATCATTTCCTGGTCCACCCCGCTGGAGTCGGAGAACTCCCGAGCTCGAAGCATGAAGAACCATGCCGTGACCACCGCCGCATGCACCATCCGGCAGTCAACCTTGAGCTCTCCCACCGTCTCGGCTCCAGACGCCATCTGCTTGCCGAGCCACTTCAACATCTGTACAGTGACCCCTAGCCGTCGTGGCCTCTTCACTGAGTTCTTCTCCAGGGAGTTGAGCACGATCCACAGCCGGTGCATCTTGACTGTAGTGTCACCATGCCCAGCTCGTTTATGCGCATCCTTGATGGCAAAGACCGCCTGCTTCATGGTAGCTACCGAGGTGCCCAGCCAGCCCAAATACCCCAGGTAACCCAGGACCTTGTTCTCGTTGTGGATCGGGTCACCCTTGTGGTCGAGGTAGGGCGTCAACCACCCTTGGCGTCGGCTCCAATCGCACCACTTCCCCCAGGCCGTCGCATAGGCCTTCTGCGTGCTCGCTGCCTTGTCTCCCACCAGGTGAGCTTCGAGCCATTCTTCCACTTGTGCCTGGATCTCCATGTCGGGGTTGAAGTCCGGGTTGAGGTCGATGAACTTCGCACCATTCTCCTCGATGGGCTTGAGCTCCTTCTTTCGTCGACCTCCGCACCTCCTTTCATCACTACCCCCGAAGGTTCCATCGCACTCTTCAATGGCTTCCAGCCACAACTCTTCGCCCCAAAACCACACCGGGTGGGTCCGATCGTCACCTCGACCTCCCGCCTTTCGATCTGGTAAATCTCGGCCGAAATCACCTCGTCGCCATCTCCTTAGCCACTGCAGCAGCTTTGCCCTCCCGGCCCTCTTTGGCGAGCTCCGCCGCAGTGCTGACAAGACTCAAAGCTGTCCTTCGACCGGTGGCCTTGCACCCCTCTCGTTCAGCCTCCTTCTCACCAACTTGACCAACCAGGGTC